GGGCAGCAGCTTTCAGCACCCGCAGCTCAAGGTAAGAAGTTTCTAGGGTTTAGGGTTTAGGGTTTAGGGTTTAGGGTTTGGGGGTTAGGGTTTAGGGTTTAGGGTTTGGGGTTTAGGGTTTAGGCCGGTGGGGGGGCGGCGTATTGCTGCAGCAGCAGCAGCAGCTGATGCTGCTGCTGCTGCTGCTGTTGTTGTACTTTTTGGTGCTTCTGCGGCTGATGCGTGGAGCTGCTGCTGCTGCATGTCGTTATTGCTTACACTTGCTGCTGCTGTTTGCTGCTGTTGCTGCTGCACCTTTTTGTTGCTGCTGCTGCTGGTTGCTGCTGTTGCTGCTGCTTGTTCTCGTTGCTGCTGCATATAATATTGTTGCTGCTGTTGCTGCTGTTGTTGCTGCTGCTGCTGCTGCTCAGGTGGGTACTCCGCCTGCTAGCGGCAGTGCAGCAGGGGCCCAGTACCACTACAGCAGCAGCAGCACGGGGGCCCCCCCCGCCAGCAGCAGCAGCTCAGGGGGCCCCATAGTAGGGAGAGGAGAGCAGCAGCATCAGCAGCAGCAGCCGCAGCAGGGGCAGCTAAACAGCAACTCTGTTATGTCTACGCAGTACGGGAAAAACAGCAACTTCAAGCAGCAGCAGCAGCTGTAAGTTTAGGGTTTAGGGTTTAGGGTTTAGGGTTTGGGGTTTAGGGTTTAGGGTTTAGGGTTTATGGGGGTTTGGTTGGGTTGTTGCTGCGTGTTGTACTCTGCTGGCGGTTTCCTTCTTCTTTGTATGAGTGGCTGCAGCAGCAGCACTGCTGTTGCTGCTGCTGCTGCTGCTGCTGCTGTTGCTGCTGCTGCTGCTGCTGCTGCTGCTGTAGGTGGTTGCAGCAGGAGATTTGTGTGTGTTATTCATTATGAATATAAATATATTTGTTGTTTTATGTTTATAAATATAAATATAAAAAAACATGTGTTGTTGCTGCTGCTGCAGGAGCAGCACCTATCACCGTGGTGGCAGCAGCAGCAGTGCAGATCAGCAGCAACAGCAGCAACAACAGCAGCAGCAGCAGCAGCAGCAAGCAGCAGTAGCAGCAGCAGCTGGAGGATATTATAATTACAATGCTTATACACACTAC